ATCCACTGCTCCTCTGCGTGTCCCTTTGCCTTCTCCTCCTGTGTCCTCTCTTCCTGCCCTTGCCGACCCCGAGTCGGACTCTCTTCGTGCTGCCAGTCCTACTGTCACGCGTCTCCTTGCTACTGTCGTCACTGACCCCTCCTTTGAGTCCACTGCTGCGTCTGCTCTTGTTGCTGAGCTCGTCGACTTTGCTGCTCGCTGTCGCCTAGACTACGCTGCTAGTCTCGTTGCTGAGTCTGCGTCTGTCTGTCCTCCGTCCATCAGGGGTGAGTGTGCTCTTGGCACGGACGTCCTTGAGGACAGGCAAGAGGAGTTCCAGTGTCTGGCTGCTGCTTCACCTCATCTTGTGCCTGTACTGCTTACCCCTGAGGGAGACCCGGATGCACTTGACATCCCGACTCCGCGCTCTTACGCGGAGGCCGTAGAGGGTCCCTACTCCTCTCAGTGGCAGTTAGCCATGGACGTAGAGATGGCTTCGTGGAAGTCCACAGGCACCTACGTCGACGAGGTTCCCCCACCTAGGGCGAACATCGTCAGTGGCATGTGGATCTTCAGGGTGAAGCGGCCGCCAGGTTCTCCACCTGTCTTCAAGGCGCGGTACGTGGCTCGTGGCTTCAGTCAGCGGCAGGGAGTTGACTACTTTCAGACCTTCTCTCCCACCCAGAAGATGACCACTCTTCGGGTGCTGCTGCACATAGCCGATCAGCGCGACTACGAGCTTCGCTCTCTTGACTTTAGCACTGCTTTCTTGCAGGGTAGCCTGCACGAGGAGATCTGGCTGCGCCGCCCACCTGGCTTCACTGGGTCGTTTCCTCCTGGTACCCAGTGGAGCCTCCGGCGACCAGTCTACGGTCTCCGCCAGGCGCCCCGTGAGTGGCACGACACACTGAGGACTACACTTGCGGCTCTTGGGTTTGCTCCTTCTACAGCCGGCCCGTCGTTGTTTCTGCGCACCGACACCTCTTTGCCGCCGTTCTACATCCTCGTGTAGGTCGACGACTTGGTCTTTGCCACAGCTGACACTGCTGGACTCGCCCACGTGAAGTCCGAGCTGAAGAAGAGATACACGTGCACAGACCTGGGTGAACTGCGCAGCTACCGTGGCTTGCAAATCACTCGGGACAGAGCACGCCGCACCATTACCCTAACTCAGTCACACATGGTGCAGCAGGTTCTTCAGCGCTTCGGCTTCACGTACTCCTCGCCTCATGCCACTCCTCTGTCTACTCGCCACTCGCTCTCAGCTCTACCTTCGGATGAGTCCGTAGAGTTGAGTGGCCCGTACCCAGAGCTTGTTGGTTGCCTCATGTACCTGATGACCTGCACACGACCTGACCTTGCATACCCTCTTAGCATCTTGGCACGCTATGTTGCTCCTGGGAGACACCGACCAGAGCACATGGCTGAAGCGAAGAGGTTGTTGCGCTACTTGTGCAGTACGTCGGGCATGGGGCTAGTGCTTGGAGGGCGACGTCGAGTGGTCACGCAGACGCTTCTTGGGCTGACGACCAGGCTACGCAGCGGTCGTCACAGGGTTACACCTTCAGTCTTGGTTCCGGCTCTTTTTCATGGCGGTCTACCCTCTCGTCTTCAGTTCTCGGCTCCAGCTGTGAGGCTGAGATCTACGCGGGGGCCATGGCTGCACAGGAGTTACGCTGGCTCACCTACCTGCCGACTGACCTTGGAGAGGCACCTCGTTCTCCTCCAGTGCTGTATGTAGACAACAAGGCCATGCTGGCCTTGTGTCGGGAGCACATACAGGAGCACAGAACGAAGCACATTGCTCTTCGCTACTTCCTTGCTCGTGAGCTGCAGCAGCGTGGTCAGCTGCGCCTTTCTTACGTGGCCTCTGAGGCCAACACTGCTGATATCTTTACCAAGGCACTTCCGCCTGGGGATCATCAGCATTTCTGTACGATGCTAGGCTTGTGCCTACTTGGCCCCACTTGCTCACTTCTTGACCTTGCTTGTACTTTGATCTTTCTATACCTGCACTTGCTTGTTTACCTTTATATATGATCTTGCATGTGAACTGGCCTTTTGGCCTTGCTCTTGTGCTCGGATTGTGTGGTGACGTTGTGATCCACCCTGAGCTTGCCATGCTTTGCTTGACTGGTCTTGTGACCCCTTGTTCTTCCCCACTTTGTCTATGGGGGTGTGTCAAACTCATATGCTATAGTCTGTGTAGGCTGTAGTGGGGTAGACAATATGGGGTACAACACTTTTAGGTTTTCCTACTTGTACCCACCTGTTTGCTAGTTCATTCATCCCTCATTTCTTCACAACAGCGTGATACTAGGCCGCACCACCGAGCACGACCCGTTTTGGGATTTCGAGCGGCGCGGTTGAAGCTTTCGCCGCGACACCATCCTTTGCATTCTCGAGGACGGGATGGAGCACCTGTCGCCCACGCTGCCCGCGGTCGCCCTGACTTCAATCCCGCCTGTAACCCTGCGCGCTGGGATAGCATAGGCTGTAGTGGCAGGTGGGATTTTGGATTTCGCTTTGTCCTGCGACGGGTCGCACGTGTCGCAGTCAGGTGTAGCCGCCGTGTCGCTGCAATGTTTGCACTGGCCCATGGGACACGGGCGCCAGAGTATGTGTGTCTTGAGTCTGTGTGACTCGGTCGTCTACTGTGTGTTGTCGCTTTTGTGTTTTGATGGCTGCATGTAATAGAGTAGTCCCCATAAATATAATATTTGTGCTACGTGTGAATCCGGGTTCCATTTAAACATGGGAACAAATCGTCGTACTATAACGCACCCGTGCCACAATTTTAACGGTAGCATGCGGCTTGTGCGGGCGACGCTCCCATTTTCGGAATGGCGCGTCTAAACCCGCGTGTTACCCGATGACACGTTTTCATTACACCCATGCTGGATCCCCTCTATGCAGTCATGTTGCCGTTTGTAGCGCAAACACCTACAGTGACATCAATCGCGTCCCTATTATGTTTATAATAATTACTTCTTGTTCTATCGAGTGTACGCAATAGTGGTTGTCCTAGACGCGGAACGTCCAGAACAGGGGATTGACATTGTCTTGAGATTGCTAAAACAATCTCTAGGGTTTGTCCCAGTGGGTGGTTTGCGCAGTCTCCGGACACTCCCGCCCTCTATCATTGCATTGTTAATAATAATGTTAGTTGTATGTTGTCACGCGGTACTTTTGACAGTCCATGTGCAATGTATTGACACTGTTTTCGCACCAATTTCTTTGTGACGTTCTGAGGACTCTCCAAGAGCCGATTCGTCCTCTGGAAAGAGACGACCCCCTTTTTGCCCTTCACAGTTATGTCACCACCACCAAAGTCTCAATTGAATAGCAACCCAGAACAGATAATAACAGTGAATTTTGGCTCGCAGGATTGCTTCATTTTCCACATTGCTGATAAACACGATTCGTGTCCCGTCCGGAAACTGCTGCACTGAAATTCTGTCCGTGCGTTGTCACGCGTGACAAATGCAGGGTGCAACGAGGAACAGTGAGACACAGTCAGACACAGATAGAGTGAGTGGATTCTCCTTGTCCTTTATGCAAGACATGTAAACAGGTCTCCCCAATTTTGACATGGGCCATTTTTGGGCTGTTGGGTGTCTTTAGAATTCACGCTGTAAAAAAACATTCACTTAAATGTCGGCCGGTAACTTCATGGCAACGAAAACTCCACTAGATATCCTGAGAGATTTTACTGAAGGAGCACAAAGAGTGTTGGGGGACATGCCCGCCAACGGAAAGTACGAAGGGCGTGTTCCTTCTCGTTTTCGTACCAGAACTCAGAACCTTCAGGGTACAAAGCCATGAGACAGAAATCTAGTTAAGAGACATGGTTTGCGGTGATTTGCTGTGGCAGTGGGTATGGCACTGGTATTTCACAAAAACAAAAGGAAACAGCAAAAAGCGGGCTGTCAGTTCAGCATCTCCGAGATGCCAACCAAACAAATGGCCCTACTCACCCTAGGCTGGATGACGGACCCGTCACCCCATCCATGCTCTCCTGTCCTTTGCGAACGAAGTGGTTACTGACTCAAATGCAGAATGATCGCCTGAACAAAAACATCCTCTCTAACCGACTGACTCGCCGGCCGTCAGCTCGCCAGCCGTCATCTCGCCGGCCACTGGCTTATCCGACCGGCTGGGCAGAGGGAAAACGTTAGGGGTTGGCCGTTTCGGACGTCAAATATCAACGGCTCAATGATGTCTCTCGTAGTCGCAGAAATGGTATGTCTTGAATTGTATGGATAACAATTGTGTATAGTATATATCTTCGTGAATCACAAGCCAATATCAGCATCTAACTAATAATGATTATGTTATGTTTATCAACTCTCTCAAAAAAAAAAAAAAGGCTTCCCCTCCTCCAAACTGATAACACATTTCTGAAATGGTTACTTGGCAGCAAGGGCTGTCCTTAGACTCCTCGTCATTTCCCTACCACAACACACCCTCACCTCAGCCCCCCACCACCCTCTTCCCCCTCTCTTCCCCTACCCCCTCCTCCTCCTCTCTCTCTCTCTCTCTCTCTCTCTCTCTCTCTCTCTCTCTCTCTCTCTCTCTCTCTCTCTCTCTCTCTCTCTCTCTCTCTCTCTCTCTCTCTCTCTCTCTCTCTCTCTCTCTTTCTCTCCCCGTTTCCCATGCTGATAAATTATTGTCAAATAGTATGTAAAATTGGCATACCCTATCAAACTTCATGTGCACACACTATAAACATATCGCTCAAGAAAATCCGGGCTAGAACTTAAAACGCCAAGCCATCTGACCCTATGTGCTGCGTTTGTTGCAGCAATTGGCGGCATTGCAGCACGAGCAGATAGAAATGAGCAGAATACTACGCACCGGCCGTAGTGGTGCAAATGCAGAGACGTACAAATGCAGAAAGACAGTAAAGAGTCATTGACAACCACAACTAACGCACGTCAAGCTCAAGCTTACTCAAAGTATCTAATACAGCACATACTAAAAACTAGAAATAACATATCTACTTTAACTGCACATACCTCCTAAGCCGCACCTTCGAGCCACGATTGCAGCTCCTTCCGCTTGCCAACGGCTGCAAAGTCTGAAACCTGAATGGTGCTGTCGCCCCCTAGAAACGCAACCACTGCTGCTGGAATCAACGGCTTCAACATAGCTTGCTGCTGGTGCAATGGGCCAAACGTATTGCGGTTGGAAGTGGTTGGGAACATTGCAAGGTGGTCTGAAGGAGCTGCACACACTGAATTAATACGGGCCGGTGGGTTTAGAGGAGCCTCATGATACGTGCTGCTTGTTTCCCGTTCTGTGCTGCTTGTTTTACATTCTGTTTGGCATGACTTGTCCCTAGTGTCACAAACGGCCGGATGTTTGCTGCTCCTGGTATGCAGCTCCTCTGGTGAAACCACAGTCACAGGGTCCACGCGAGCACAAGCTTGGGCACATGCTTGGGCACAGGCTTGGGCACAGGCTTGGGCACAGGCTGGGTCAGTGACACGGAGAGAGGGAGGCGGTGCATCCATGGCTGAGGCGGGTCGCTTCCGCACATTCCTAAGCGTACCACAGGTGGTGGCTGTAAGAGGATGTGAGGCACACGCAGGGAGAGTGGCAGTGAGAGTGGCATGGTGAGTGGCAGTGAGAGTGGCATGGTGAGTGGCAGGGAGAGGGGCAGGGCAATTGGCAATTAGAATCCCGGGCACGGCTGGGGCAGGTTGCTGTACAGCAGTGTTGTTGCTCTGCAAGAAGGAATCAATCAGAGACAGCAGCAACGCTGTCACTTGATCCGTCTGCTTTGACGGCCGCTGCTGCTGCTGCTGTGGTTGTTGCTGTTGCTGTTGCTGCAGCGCTCTCAGATCCTGCTGGGTCTGTAACCCAGGAGCATCAGATACAGCACAGGCGTCAGTCAACGATGCATTTTGAGTCAACGGCTCCTTCTGGGTCTGAAACTGATGAGCATCGGATACAGCACCGCAGCCAGACAAAGCAGCAGCACCCTGCACAGCAGCACCCTGCACAGCAGCACCCAGCGCAGCAGCACCCGGCACAGCAGCACCCTGCACAGCAGCACCCGACACATGCCCCATCGGTGCTGCAAATCTCGTCCCTGTAGAACCGTGCAGCGACCCTTCCTCCCCATCACCATGCAAATCAAATTTCAAACTCTCCCCATTGCCCACCACCACACCACCAGCGATCTGCTCCTCCTCGACCAATCCCGCGTCAGAGAAGTTTGGTAGAAGCCCCACGTGGTTGGCACTGAAAGGCAGTGACAGCTCTTGGAGCTCTTGAAGATCTTGGAGACCTTGATTCGTAGGCAATATTGCTCCCAGAGAAGAGAAAATCTCATCCGTCGAATCCTCCTCCGCATCATAAAATCGACGGCTGCCATCTTCTCCTAGCATTTGAGATCTGAGATCCAGAAGCCGCAGTTCCTCATAGATTGTAGACCTCCGCGTGTGAACAGCAACAGCAGAGTTGAGGTCAGTGGAGCAGCCACTAACGGGGATAAGCCCAGCCAGCCCCGGAGGAGAGGGCTGGAGGCGGGTCGACAGGGGAGACACTGGGGAGACGTCCCACACAAGCAGGGGATTGCTCCCTGATGGCTGCTCCTTCTGCCAGGGAGAGTGCAAGAGGGCTGCCATGGTCCAGTCTGCATCTGCATCAGCATCAGCATCAGCATCTGCATCTGCATCTGCATCATCCGCAGCATCACCAATGCCACCACCATCATGAGCAGAAGCAACAGCACAAGCAGCATCAGCACAAGCAGCATCAGCAGTTGCAGCAACAGCATCTGCACCTGCACCAGCATCGGTACCACCATCGACAACAGCAGCAGCAGCAGCACCACCACCACCACCAGCATTGAAATAACTGCCTGTAGCAGCACTCAGGCCCTCATGATGCAACGCCGGTACCAGGGCATTCACAGGCCCACCAAAATCAGCACCCAGGGCATTCAGAGGCCCACCAAAATCAGCACCCGGGGCGTTCAGAGCTGCATCAGAGCAAGCAGCCTGGGAATCCAGAGCTGCATGGGAATGAGTGTCCGGGTAAGTGAGAGCTGCATGGGAATGAGTGTCCGGGTAAGTGAGAGCTGCATGGGAATGAGTGTCCGGGTAAGTGAGAGCTGCATGGGAACCACCGTCCGGGGAATCGAGAGCCGCAGCAAGATGGTCAAGGCGAGCAGCGCTAGATGCTGCAGTGCAGCCAGCTCCACCGTGTGACACCGCGAGGTTGCTATGGTGGCTCATGGGCCGGTCGAGAGGCCGGTAAGTACGGCGGTAATTGGGCCGCTTGGTAGGGCTGTAAATGGGGACTGTGGGGTGGTTGGGTGGACGGCTAATGGGAGGCGCGGGGTGGTTGTGGAGGCGGCAGCGGTAGGCAACTTGGATGGCGTCGGGGGAGAGCGGGTCGGAGCCGTTGCGGCAGTTGATGTCAACAGTCTTCTTGGCCGGACAGCGCAGGCTGGTCTTGGCGCGACTGCACTTGTAGTAGCACCTGGTGAGGAGGGCGCGAGGGGGAGAAGGGGAGAGAGGGAGGGGGGGGGGGGAGGGGGAGGCGCGACTGAAGACAGTAGTACAGCACGTGTGAGATGGTGGTCTTGGCGCGAGTGCACTTGTAGTAGCACCTGGTGATGGATGAAGAGAGGGGGAAAGGAAGGGGAAGGGGGGAGTGAGGGGGAAGATGATGGATTCAGCAGCACAGCTGAGGGTGAAACGGTGAATTCTGCTCAGCAAGGGACAGAGGTGGATGGAGCACAGCACGATATCATCATTCGCTTTGAAACTATGATAAGCAGAAACCTCTGAATCAACAAGAGACAACTGGAGTCAACAGAAGAAGACGAGCAGGAGTCAACGCGAGTCAACACGAGTCAACGCGAGTCAACAGGGCAGACCTGGTGGCGTTGGAGCGCTGCACTTGCTTCTGGCCGTACTTGAGCCAGTTGTGCCCATCGGAGCCCACCACCCGCGCCACCACCACCTCCAATTTCAACCCTCGCGGCCCCAAGTCCTGCTCCCACACCTCTCGACTGATCGACTCATCCTCAGAAAGCTGACGGCTAACCGACGCGTCCTCAGACAGCTGACGGCTAGCCATCTCATGCTCAGAAAGCTGACGGCTAGCGGCCTCCTGCTGACTACTCGCCAAGTGCGGAACCGATTGGTGCAAGCTCGTGTCTCTCTCCAAGATGGAGGCGATTGCCATAGTAGCAGGCAAGCTCTGGCTGTGGTCTTCCTGGAAACTGCCGGTTAGGTAGTATTGGCGGGAAAAGTTGAAGATGAAGGATCTCTAAGGCTCGCGGCGCTGCCGCGGCCGCGGCTGTGGGTAGTATTAGGCCGAGCAATAGTGCTGCCTAGAAGCAGCGCTATGTAGTAGTAGTTTTATTAGGGTTTAGGACAAACGAGGCAAGGTTGAGTGGAGTGACAAACGAGACTGTCCTCCAGAAGTCGAGTAGCATTGCTGATTGAAGTGCTACTGCTGATCCTCTAGTGTGGGGTGGTGATTCTTGCTAGGCTCGTGCACATCTCTTCGAGTCAGATCAGAAGAAGCACCGACCGACCTTTTGGAAAGGCCAGACAACTGCCGCCTTCTGAGGCCTGTGGACAGTCCTCCTTGATAAGGCCGTGACACATCTTGCACGGGCTGCCTGGCCTGGACCATGGAGAGAATCCCCCTCTCTGTCATCTGCCATCACGCATGCGAGATTATCTCCGATTAGCTCGGAGGCTTAGAATCCAGACAAATTAGTGCAGTAGCCAGCCAGTGACAAGTGACGAGACACGCCAGGCGTGGCCAGCAGGACTTGCCGTTGCAAGTCGGATCGCCAGCTTGGTTCATAGGTGTGGTGTCGATTGCGGTGACTCGTGTCACGACTTGCGCGGAACGACATCCTTCACGTGAAATGCTGACGGGGCTGATCCGCGACGCGGACTTCCCTCGCATGGAAAAGGAGGTACAGGAGAGGAAAGAGAGGCGGTTTGGGACGGGGTAGAGGATCAGCATAAAATTCCCTGTCATTGACGACAACGGGAGAACTACAGGTACATGTCCCACACATTGAATCTTTTTTTTTTCACACAGTTGTTAGTACACAACCATCGCCCACAGCGCGCCGCTGCTCAACCGTTTGCGCCGTCTCTCGTGACCGTCTACCTGTTGCAAATTCTGCTCCATGCGTCGCGGTTTCAAGCTGTACTTCTACTGTACATAATGCGGTCCACAGACACTTGCGGTGCTTGAGTACTTCTACTGTACATAATTCTTTTCGTCATTTTACTGTACGGATGACAGCTCACATAATCAAGTCAACGTACACATCATCGGTTAGAGTGATGACACCAGCACATCATCGCAGTGACTAACAACTGAGAATTCCCTAGGTTCCAAGAGCAACAGAATTATTCTTGCGGCTCAAGCCACGGAACGTAACAAACGGAAGTGGCAGTGGGCCTTGGCGGAGTCAAAACGGGATTTGGATTTCAAGGCAACCACGAACAAGAAGGCAAGGATCACCTCACCAGACCAGATTCAATGTACCTGTGTGTGCAGTCTGCAGCAGAAGGTTACCCCATGTGCTACTGTACAGAAGTTTCGAGGATTCATGGAGCTCATCTTGTCGCTTGATTGGCTAAAAAGCAAGTTTGGCATTAATTTGATTGGGCAGCTGGATTACAAGCTCGCAAATGAACCACGGCAGTCTCGAGGCGCCACTTGTGCTGTGTTTCCTGCCGTGACAAATCGCAAATCGCACATTGGATAAAGTACTGAAGAATTGTGGCTTGAAGAAATCCTCCTTAGTAAGCGTCTCGTTCTGGCAAATGCATCTTCATCTCCACCCAGCCAGTTTCCAAAGGCGAAAGTTAGGTTCCACACTGTACAAAATGTTCCAAATCTAAATATTGTCAATGAGATTGTCATGCATATGTTACTGTACTAACACAATGCATAACAACATTGCAGTGCTACAATATAGAGCATTCCCTCTTAACCTGCACCCTCGAGCCACAACTGCAGCTTTCTGCGCATGCCAACGGCTGCAAAGTCCGAAACCCGCGAAGTGTTGGCCCCTCCCAGAAATGCAAACACTGCTTCATGGATTAACGGCCCCAACATTTCCTTCTGCAGCGGTGGGCTGGAGAACCCTTGCTGGTCCGATGGCCGAAACAACCCCTGCTGAGCTGATAAGGCAAACACCTGATCGTGATCGACCAATGGTGCTCCACACAATGAAGCAGGGCGGCCGTTAAGCTTTGTATCGACACAGTGTGAGCTAGATTGTCGCTGCACATCCCACATTGCTCCACACGCCCTCAGTTTACCCCCACACGCCCTCATCTGACCCCCCAACGGATTCAGCTCATCCCCACATGCCCTCGGGGCACTCCAACACCCCTCGTGTGTCACCATAAGCTGCTGGCGCTTGCATGATGCAGCAACAGCAGTCAGAGAGGGCAATAGGGACTCAGAGGAGAGTTGACTATTGCACGCCACACCACCACCAGCAGTCTCACTCGCCCGCCCATGACCAAATGTGTTGCCGCTGCTGCTGCGGCTGCGTGCTGCCACATGACTCTTGATAGCTCTAGCAACCAGCCGAATATTCTTCTCCCTGATGCTGCTACTGCAGGTTACTGGTGTTGCCATACTCTGAAACGCCCTTCTCTCCGTCCTGTTGCGGCCGCCCATGCTGCTGCTGCTGCGTGTGGGCGTTTCTGGCCCCTCCACCCCGCTCCATGCTCGCTCCATCCCACCCCCATCCACATCACAATCCGCAGAGCTCGAATCAGAGGGGGGGGGAAAGGCATCAGTGGCCGCGCTGAGAGTGTGATGTGCCCCGTGCCACGAGGCAGGGGTGCAGGGGACACGCAGGGCAGCAGGCGCAGCCATAGCAGAATTCTGACACGCCTCAGTAGCCGTGGCAAGAGCGTGATGATGTGTGCAGGGACGAGAGGCAGGAGCGTGGAGGGGAGGCAGAGCAGGAGGCGCAGCCACGGCAGAGGTTTGACGCACCTCAGTAGCCGTGGCACGAATGCGATGCGCACTGTTTTGAGATGCAGGCGTGCAGGGGACAGGCAGAGCAGCAGGCGCAGCCATGGCGGAGGCAGGCCGCTTGGCACGCGCGGTGCGTGGCATGGCGTTTGAGAGAGCGAGCAGGATCGTGTTCAGTTGCTGCTCTTCCTGCAGTACCAATGACACCTGCTCTTGCTGCTGCTCTTGCTGCGCCTGCCTTCTCTGCTGCTCGCCCTCCTGCTGCTGCTGTTGATTCTGCATATGACGTTTTTGCTGCCGTTGCTTTTGCTGCTCTCGATCTTGTATCAGCTGAGAGAGGAGACCAGCAGAACGAATCAGCAATGTGTGACAATCAAACTCAGTGACATCAGGGTCGACACCAAGGTCGACACCAGGGTCGACACCAGGGTCGACACCAGGGTTGATACCATAATCAACATCAGCACCTACACCACTCAATGCTACAACCCCCGGATGATGCTCACTGCGAGCTGTGACTCCCCGGTTACACCCGCTCGGTGTTACATCCATGGATACCGCGCCCACCTCGCACAGAAACTCATCTACCTCATCGCGGGACTGGCAAGCGCTTCCCTCTGCTGCCCCCACAGCATGTAAACCCAAGACACTGAGCGTGTTTCCTGGAGACTCAAGGGGGGAGGTCAGGGGAGAGTCGAGCGGGGAATCAAGGAGGGAGTGGAGGGGAAGATCAAGGGGGACCACGAGAGGGGGCACGAGGGGGGGCACGAGGGGGGCCACGAGGGGGGAGCCGAGGGGGGAATCGTGCGAATTATGGCGAACTCGAGCCAAGCACACTGACTCATAGTCCTCTCTGTGTTTCTCGGCGCCTTGGAGTGTGCTTGGCGATGCGAGCGAGTGACACATGCCCGCAAGGCCCTCCTCCACGTGAGCGTCCATGCCCGGGAATGTGCCAGGCCATGCGATGGGGTCCCACACGCCCGCCCATTCCGCCTCAGGCTGCTGCTGCTGCTGCTGCTGCTGCTGCTGCTGCTGCTGCTGCTGCTGCTGCTGCTGCTGCTGCTGCTGCTGCTGCTGCTGCTGCTGCTGCTGCTGCTGCTGCTGCTGCTGCTGCTGCTGCTGCTGCTGCTGCTGCTGCTGCTGCTGCTGCTGCTGCTGCTGCTGCTGCTGCTGCTGCTGCTGCTGCTGCTGCTGCTGCTGCTGCTGCTGCTGCTGCTGCTGCTGCTGCTGCTGCTGCTGCTGCTGCTGCTGCTGCTGCTGCTGCTGCTGCTGCTGCTGCTGCTGCTGCTGCTGCTGCTGCTGCTGCTGCTGCTGTTGCTGCTGCTGCACCTGCTTCTGGTGATCCCAATCGCAACCGGCGTCCCATTCCTTAGTCTCTGGCAAAATTCGACCGGCGAGAGCAGGAGCAATAGAAGGCGCGGTTGAAGCAACAGGAGTAGCAGAAGCAGCTGCAGGAGCAAGAACAGCAGGTGGAGTGGCAGAAGCAGCTGCACCAACAGTAATGGCGGTGGCAACGGCGGTGGCGGCGGTGGCGGCTGCTGCGGCGGCAGCGGTGGCGGCTGCTGCGGCGGCAGCACTCGCGTGGTTGGGAGGCGCGGGGTGGGTGTGGAGGCGGCAGCGGTAGGCAACTTGGATGGCGTCGGGGGAGAGCGGGTCGGAGCCGTTGCGGCAGTTGATGTCAACAGTCTTCTTGGCCGGACAGCGCAGGCTGGTCTTGGCGCGACTGCACTTGTAGTAGCACCTGGTGTGCGGGGCGCGAGGGGGGGAAGGGGGGGGGGGGCGCGCGAGAAGACAGTAGTACAGCACGTGTGAGATGGTGGTCTTGGCGAGAGTGCACTTGTAGTAGCACCTGGTGATGGCAGAGGGGTGAGGGCTGGAGGATGATGGATGGACAGGGAGCGCAATGGTCAAGAGGACGGAGCGAGATGGTGGAATTGTGGAATTGTGGAATGGTGGAATGGTGGAATCTGCACCAACACAAGTCAACACAAGTCAACGGAGGGACTAAATCAACGGGCAGCTAATCTGGGTCAGCAGGAATCAACACAAGTCAGCGGAAACCAACGCCAAGTCAACAAACGTCAAAAGTCAACGCGAGTTAGCGGGAGTCAACGAGAGGCTGACCTGGTGGCATTGGAGCACTGCACTTGCTTCTGGCCGTACTTGAGCCAGTTGTGCCCATCGGAGCCCACCACCCGCGCCACCATCTCCTCCAACCGCCGCCGCGCCGCCATCTCCTGCTGGGAATTACCCATTTTTTCCGGGGAGTTCTCAAATTCTAGCTGGGGAACAGCAGCAGCAACAACGCCGTCACGCTCCGCTGCAGCCTGAGGCTGCTGGTGGGCAACTGCTGTTGGCTGAGGCGGCTGCTGGTGGGCAACTGCTGTCTCATTCATCGTCCTCATCACCTCCACAATCATCATCATAATCTTGCGTTGGGAAGAGACGTGCGGGAAAGCTGCTTCAGCAGCGCCTTGGAAGCTGCTTCACGAGAAAATGGGATGCGTGGAGAATCTCTTTTTTTGAGGCGCCTCAAAAGACGAGAAAATGGGATGCGTGGAGAATCTCAAAAGCGCTGCAGAGACTTTCTTGAGGAGGACAGAGGAACGGTAGGGGGAACGGTAGGGCCACGTGGGAATGGTAGGGGGAACGGGAGGGGGAACGGTAGGGGGAAACAGTAGGGGGAACGGTAGGGGGAACGGGAGGGGAAAGCTGTAGGGGGAACGGTAGGGGGAACGGGAGGGAAAACGGTAGGGGGAATGGAAGGGGAAACGGTAAGGGGAACGGTAGGGGGAAACGGTAGGGAGAACGGTTGGGGGAGCGGTAGGGGGAACGGTAGGGGGAAACGGTAGGGGGAACGGTAGGGAGAACGGTAGGGAGAACGGTAGGGAGAACAGTAGGGAGAACGGTAGGGGGAACGGTAGGGAGAACGGTAGGGAGAACGGTAGGGAGAACGGTAGGGGGAACGGTAGGGGACCGGGAGGGGGAACAGGAGGGGGAAACGGTACGGGTAACGGAAAAGGTAGGGGGAACAGTAGGGTGAAACGGTAGGGGAAAACGGTAGGAGGAACAGGGTAGGGATGAGGAAGGGGAGGGACCCTGGGATTAATCCCCGCGTACCGTCTCGAAACGAAAACGGTTCTAGGATGAAAGAGAACAGGGCAGAAAAGAGAAAGACCTCTGTCACAGAGGTTTAGGGTGAACGAGAATTCAACACGTAGTTTAGAAACGAGAACGGCGGGCGAACGATATAGAACAGGGTAGGGAAGAGGAAGGGGAACCCGAGAGAAATCCCCCTGTAGATGCTGCTGTTGTGTCGCTGCTGCTTCAGAATGGTGAGTTTCCAGTGCTGCGGTCAGGGTGAGAGGGTCGTTGTCAGGAGTCGTAAGGAAAACAAGGGTTTCAGGACGGGGAGAATCAGGGTGAGAGGGTCGTTCTAGGAGCGCGGACAGAGATAGCGTCTAATGTAAGTGCATCATTGTACTAAGTTGTGAGTGCATGAAACGGAGATACCTTCTTGTATTGGTGCTCGCGAGAGGAAAGACCCATTTCAGATGAGGAGAGGAGGAACGAGAGCAGCCGCAAGGAAGGAAACAATTTCTTTGGCCTAAAAGATCCGATTCTTGAGTTGGAGGCGGAAATCTGTTTCGGCGAGACGAGGAGGAGGAGGGAGGAGAGCAGCGTTGCAAGATTGAACGCACTAACAGAGCTGAAAGTAGTGGATGTGGAAGAAGTGATGGTGGAGGACTGGCTCTACAAGTGGTTGCGGCGGTGGTACAACTGGCCTTTCCCTGGTCTATCCGTGAGAAACGTCAAGTCAGACGAACGCTGTGTGATTGATGCCGCTCTGGCTACAACTTGAAGGGGGGGGGGGAAGAAGGCTGCTAGCACAGCAGCACTCGCCGGGTGCTGGGGAAGCAAAACCCGGCGAGAAAAACGACAGAACCGTTGCGCGTGACGGAGGTTGCGTTCTGGGTGTGCTGGAAGAGGAGACGCGGTACAGTATCAAGGCAAGACTGCCATGGATGGCCCACTAGCACGATCGAAATCGAAACCTAGTACAGTAAGGCGTGCTCTGCCTGCACTGTACAGTACGGAGCTTCAAGCCAAAGGCGGCGTGCCTGCCACAGAGGGCCACAGCACACCACCACCAAATGGTGACTACCCACAGGCAGACCAAAGTTGCGCAGCGTCCTGGAAAGCCCAATCCTGGCAGTGCCTGCTCACAGCGTTGTACTGAACTGAATATCCAACTCGGATGGGTACTGACACCTGCTAGTGGTGGTACGTGTACACTGACACTCCTCCATCCGCGCTTCGACGTCGCAGACGGCTGAGGTTCATTCGTCGAGCAATCGGGCGGGATGATTGGGTGCTATGGACGGCAACAGCAGTCGTAGATGCACGCAGGAGCGGCGCAGATCGCTTCGCAGAGTCTCGCGAATCTCATGAAGTTGTGGCCTATCTGTAGAACGGATAGGGATCGCGCTATTGAGTCTTGCTAAGCGGAGACGACGGAAGATGACGCGAGATGAGAGGAAACGAGGCGAGAGGTGATAAAAAGACGAGATAGTGTGGAAGGAGCAGCCTTCCGTGACCTCACTGCTGAGCCTCGGAAGGAACCTCGGCTGGGCTCATTTCTTGGCGGTGCTGGTTGTGCTGGTGGTTCGCGCCTGAATGTTCACGATTCAAAGTTCACGAATGAAGAACGGTAGGACGAAACCCTAGACTCAGCGGGGTTCAAAGGTCCAAGATTCGGACCCGATTGATCGATGATGTTATGTTCAGGTGAGTTGCCGTCTAGGTTGAGTGAGTGACACGGCAGTAGTGGGAGCAGACCCAACCCAAACATCACCTGGTGAACTGATTGAGTTCAGTCGTCACATCACGCCAGGAAAGCAACCACTCACCACGAGGTCACTAGCCTTCATAGGAGCAAAATATTACAGTAAAGTGAGCCTGATTGGAGATGCTTGCACAGCTCACAGTCTCCGGCTCTGCAAGGCCAGCGAGGCTTGTAGTTGCGGCTACTAGCAGTAGGCCTTGCATTCTGTATTGGGCTTGTCCTCGTTACTGGCCCAATGGCCAGATTTGGCTGCTGCGCAGCATTTGCCAAGTGTTCTATCCTGTCGTTTCGCGACTCTCGTCGACAGGCGAGTAGTAACGACTTCTGTCATGTCACGTCACTTGTACTGGCTGGCAGGTCAATGAAACAACAGCAAGCTCCGTCGTGATCTTGCTTCCCATAACTCAGCATGAACTGTACTTCAGATCTAGGCTAGGGTGTGTGTGAAGTAAGGCGGCAAGGACGGACGTTGCTCTGGCAAGAACGCTCATGCACCAACCACGCCATGAAAGATGATCTGGCAACCGCGTTGCGGTTGGAGCAGACTACATACGTGTAATAGCAGACTGAATCCTCGAATGCCTTTCGCTGAGTCAAGGGAATGCCAAGGCGGCTGCTCAACTCCCACTGACAGCTCAGTTCCCCCCAGTTCCACCCAACCTGCCGTTTCGTAGTGTGTAGAAATATGTTCACTTCGCATATATGCAGAGCAGATTTGCTGAAATTACGAATGCTGTACTTGATAACGAATCATTCTTTTGACAGCGACCACGCGAAATTGAACTTCCGTTATCATCAGAAGTTTCGTATCCGTTAATAATCATAGGCAAGAAACTGCTACACCCTCTTTCTCGCCATTGTGAATTCGGTTATAGTGAAGTCAAGATGGGAAAAGCACGGTTAACGGTGGTTAGATTAAGTCTAGGTATGGTTCAATCAGACAAATCGAAGGTAACTAGGTTTTCCATCAGTTCAGCACAGTTCGGTGTAGTGAGAAAGAGGGTGTATCATATTGGCGGAACCTGCCACCGTACATGTAGAAACTGAAGTTACTTTGTTTATGATAGAAGCAAGATGGTCCACAGGTCTGGGATTACCTGCTCAGAAAAAAAAATCACGTAAAGATCAGCTTTGTGCTGTGTCCCTCGCTGATCTAAATCGTTCAGACCAGAAAAAGGGATTCATATGCTACTTATTTTCTACTCGTATACGGTATGTGACTTTTCAACATGACTTGCGGAGTACAGAAACGATTCTCACTCCATAACAGACTGTTGTAAATGGCACGCGCTTCACGTGCCACGCTACTGTGCCACTCCAACCCCCTCCCCTCAAAACACCCTCGACGCATTTTCCCAAGAACCCATCCAAACCACTCAACTCCTCCAAAGCCTATTCCAACCACTCAAGTTACAAACTTCTTTTTCCAACTCATCCTCTCCAACGCAAGCCTATCAACCACCTCTTTAACTACTCCCAATCACCATAGCCTTTCCTAGTCCAACTCAACCAATATTCAAACCAACTTCCCATACTCATCCTCAAGTCCCACCATAAGGCACATGACTCCTCATGATTTTCCATGTGCTTTCTTTTCCTACTCATCAAAGTTTACCCAAGTCATTTACCTCCTCCAATTATCCTCCTCCCATGTGCCTTCAAGCACATGCTTCCACCTCCTAGTCATCAACCTCCGCATGCCTCTTATTTATTCCTTCCTTCCTTCCTTTCCCAAGTCATCAAAGTTGCCAACACATCCCTCAAGGACTTTATGATTATCCCATCACCTCCTAGTCCAAGGCAACAAAGCTCATCATCTCCTCCACTCATTCTTATCCAACTCACCCAAGTTCTTTTCCAACACTACAAGGCCTACAATTCCAACTCACCAAATGCTCAACCACCACCACATGCTCTACTACTATTCAACTCCAACAAGCATCTCTACAATTTCTCAAGAAAGTTCTTCACTGACAACAATGCTTCTCAAGCTTCCTCTTCAAGCTCCTTTCCAAGCTTCTCCTTCAAGCTCCTCTTCGACTACAAAGGCTCCTCCTAGCAACCAAGTTCTATGTCTCCAAAGTTGATATTCTCATGCTACTCTCTTCCAAGGTTACCATTGATGGTTACTCTTCTATGCATGTCTATGTATCCCTCATGGATCTATAAGGCTTGTACTATACCTCTTTCAATATAAGTTTATGCTCAAGAAGTTCATCTCTACCTAGCCTACAAAGTAGTTATCAAGTGAAGAGTAGTCACCTCATACTCTACTTGAGTATAAGGTTCATTACTACCTACAAGCTTGAGGAAGGCTCATCACCCAACACCAAGCTTGATGTTCTTTTTTCAAGTAAAGCTCCCGAGACCAAGTCATCCAAGTCACCTCTACAACTATCCCTTGTAAGATTCACTCAAGTAAGTGTTTCATCACCTCTCTTATTCTCTCAACGAGCTCACACTCCTCTTCTCTTCTAAGTTCTTATCTCATCAAGCATTTCATCTTGCACAAGTTTCTCTTTATAGTCACGAGTTCTAAGCATCATCTTC